AGCTGCTACTTCCCCAAGGTCCACCAGGCCAATAAAAGCAGCTAGAGGCTTTGAGCGTGTAGCCTGACTGTCCCACATATATGCTCTTCCTCCCCACTGACCCTCCGCCTCTTCCTGTGATGTCACATCCTGCCAGTGTGTTCCAGGCTGGTTACTAGGCTCCTTCCTGCACAAAAGCCGCTGGATCAGCTCTACAACACCACCACTCTGCAGGATTGACCACTACAGTGTCTCTTACAAACTCCATCAGCCCAGCTGCTATTGCACTAACCACCAGTGGTGCCTGCAGGATGTTTTGAAGAACGATCATATCTCATATACACAGATGAGCTTATTTTATTGCTTCCTTTGTGAGTGTTTTTAATCCTTTGCTATTAAATAAAGTGTTATTACTACACTCAGATGGGCACCTCCTGTCTCTTTTCTTCTGAAAATGGTAAATAGGTCTTTGATTTTGTTAATATCTGATAGAGAGTCTGAGGAGAATAGAAAAACATCATCAGCAAATAATGCGGATTGAAAAGTCTGATTGCCTATCGTGACACCGCTTATCCCATCTTTTGAATTAAGAAGTCTGGATAGAGGTTTAATTCTATATTAAAGAGAAGGGACATAAAGGTCACCCCTGTCGTGTTCCCTCAGTTAAGAGTATTATCCCAGACAAAAAGTCAGGGGTGAGCAGGCAGACAGTGGGAGAGGTGTACATCTTCTGAAGTATGTTAAGTATGGGGCCCAAAAAGCCAAATGTCCTCATCACCATAAACAGCCAGGATACACAGCTAATGTTGTCTAAAGCCTTCTCAGCATCTAGGGAGATAATAGCAACTTCTTGGTCTGGATGAGAATTGGCAAATTCAAGTGCCAAAAGCACCTTGCAAATATTTAGAGTCGCTAAATGCCCCGGAGGGAACGCTGACTGGGCTGGATGCAGAATAGAGGGGAGCAAAGTTGACACTCAAGATGCAATAATCTTGGAGGGATTTTTTGCATCAACATTAATCAAAGAGATTGGCCTATAAGAACCAAATTGTAAGGGGTCTTTTACCTTTTTTGATGTTAATTTGATGTGGACCTGTGAACTTGTAGGGAGATATGGGCCGCCAGTCGACATCCCCATGTAAACATATTTCAACGTATCAGGTATAAATTCTGTCATTAGTTTGTAAAATTCTGCAGTATACTCATCTGGACCTGGAACCTTGGCCATCAGGAGCAGTTTGATGGTCAATTGGATGTCTTTCAATAGGGGCATTTAAAGTCTCCAGTTGGGTAGGTGAGAGCCAAGATAAGTGGACTCTTTTCATCTATGGGGTATTTGGAGTAAAGAGAGGTATAGTAAGCTGTTAACAGGGCATTGGCTTCAAAAGGGTGTGGTAGCAAGAGACCCATAGGGCTTTTCAATGTAGGATTATAGGTGGGGCGGTGGAACCCCAAGTAGGACTTAGATGGCAGATTACCTGCCTTGTTGCCACATCTATGAAATTTTACAGTAGAGTATGATAATTTAGCCGCCTCTTGCTGCTCCACCCAGTAGTCAAAATTCCTCTTGGCATCTTGTCATGCCTGTCTGTTGGCTAGGGAAAGGTTCTGCGATAGGGCTTTGTTTGCAATGCATAATGAGCCACTAGCCTGTTGATACCGGAGTCTAGAATATTTTTTACACTGTGAGGTGTAAGAGGTAACTCTGCCCCTAAGTAAGGGTTTGCCTGCCTCCTAAAAGAGATTGGTATCAGTCAAATGGGCTCCATGTCTGGTAGCATATTCTACCCATGCAGTGTACAAGGTATGTTTGATTGCGTTTTTGTTGTGCGTGAGGTAAGATGGGAAGCGCCAGGAATCAGGGTGGCATAAGGTTGTTAAGCCCAACAGTTTAGAATAGGGCTGTGGTCAGAGATTACCATATCTCCTATAGTTGCATCACAGGTCAGGGGAAGTAGTGCTAGCGAGCAAAAAAAAATAATCGAAGTGGGAAAATGAGTCATGCAGAGAGGATAAAACGTGTACTCCAATCAGTCAACTGGTTGAGATGCCACACTGATGTATCACAGCGAAGGATGGATTGGGCCAACAGGGTTGGATCTGGGGACAAAGGATTCTGTGTTCAAAGTCTTAAGGTGTACTTACCTGTACGGTCCTCATTGCGATGCATTACCCGCTAAGCAAGTGATGGGTTTCAGGAATTCAAATTATTCAGGACACTAGGTCCCGAAAAATGTTTGTGCCTGGGGAATTAACAGCATGAATATTAGAGATAGCAATGTCCCAAGAGGCAACTGTTACATGTAGTGTCGATTTGCGACCCTCTGAGTCTGCCTTGACAGACTATTGTGTTGCAGGTTTTTGTGTAGCAGAATAGCTACACCTGCCTTGCTGCCTACAGCCAGGAAGCCATGAACCTCACCTACCCACATCTTACGCAGGCGAGGAAGATCATCTGCAGGCGAGGAAGATCATCTGGGTCTCCTGAAGGAATGCAGCATTTGCTCAGGGACGCTTCAAGTGCCTTAAGATTTGCATACGTTTGTTAGGGAGTGTAGCCCCTTGACATTCAGGATATAACTTTCAGGTTATCCCCTCCACCTTGATGGGCCATGGTTGCTATGATGGAATGTTAGAGTAGAAGTAGAAGCAGTCCATCATCAAGGAAAGCACTGCTCCCCTAAGGCTTAAGCCATTGTGGTAACGGTATAGGCAATATACCTTAAAAAACTATCAACAATACAATAAAAAAACCTAGAGAAGAGAGTATTAAAAAACAACAAGGAGAGAAGAGACAGAAGGGGAGAAAGGGTACCCACACCATAGCGTGGGTAATGGTTGAGAGAAAGAATGATCTGCCAGAAGAATGGTGGATCTGAGGGGGCGCCTAAGAGAACAACCAGTGCAACATAAAATTAAAGAGAAAGGGATATCACCCCTAAGCCATCCAGGCACAAGTCCTGTGCACTGTAAGCAGCGGTTCCCAGGGCGGCCTTCTTTGAGAAGTAAAGAGACTCCTCTTAAAGTGTTACTAAACCCACAACAGTAAAATCAGTCTGTATATGCAGTAAAGCATGCTTGTTATACTAACTGTGGAACCGAAGGGATTAATCCTCTGCATTGTGTAAAAAGCCCATTTGATACTGTCTTCTCTGCCCCTCCTCTTGTTCAAATGTTTACGTCTTATCTCCTGATAAGACTGACTGAATTCGTAGCTACATGCACATGCTCAGTTTAGTGCGTATTGCTAGAGAGTATTTTTTTTTTCTTGGGAGAGTGCATGTGATCAGCACAGGGCCAATCAGCACAAAGGTCAGGGGTTTTGCATCCTCCTAGAACAGAAGGAAAGCTCTTCATACAAGCTTTAACTCTGCTGAACACTGATAGAAGACTCAAGATTGCTCTAACTGCTGATGAGAAAAGGTATTTAGCAGTTTATATTTACTGATATAATTGCACTTTCATGTTGCGTGTACTGTGGGAGACCAGATATAGTTAATGCAGGGTCCTGGGTTTAGTACCCACTAGGCAAGTAGAACGTAGATCAAGACCAAACTCTGAAGAAGGGAAACATATCCCCGTCAGTTGGTTCTGCCATTATGCCTCTATTTGGTCATGGAAAGCGGTCCTTACAGTATGCCCCACACAGTATATGCTTTCTAGCTCATTTGGTTTGTGAATAAAACCTTTGTTATATACATATCCTTCAACAAAGTGTCCAAAGATAATGTGCTAGGCCTGTGCATCTTCTCTGTTTTTTGTTTTTTTCTATAGTGTAGGATCTCTCAGGTCTGAGGAGGGCTGTGCCACCCATTTTTTTCCAGTTCTGGTTCAAAAGGGACCGTATGATCATTGGCCTATGCCATGAATGCCACTATCCATTTTGGAGTGCAGAAGTGTCAAGTCTTACTTTTTTTTTTCTTCAAGGAGAGTGAAGGCCTAGTTGCACTGGCATGGTACTGGAGCATAGATCTATGAGCGCAACATTTGTGAAGGATTCTGGCAGACACACGATGTGCAAATTGTTTTGCGGCAAGCGATTCTCAAGGTCGTCCAACTTGTCATGAATATACCGCTGGCATTGTGTCAGCTGCAAACACAGCAATAGCTTCGTCCTTGAGAGAACAGATCCACTCCTCGCTCTGTGCAATACGTTGGGGCTGTGTTTGCATCTCATGGTGCAGCTGCTCCAGTCCCTTAAGCACAGAACTGTCCACCATTGCTGTCAGCATGGGGGAGAGGAGTGACACCAAGGCTTGTGCTGTACCCGCTGAAAAGGTTGGACCCAGGGCCATCCTTACTACTGATTGGTCCCTGGGCAAACATTGTCCTCCCCCCCACCCCAATGCAATTTTGCTCTCCACCTTTTCTGAGACAATCAATAAATAGCAGCTAGACTCCAAATCAGTTTACTGCAGCAGATCAGGGAGCGATTGCAACTGGTCCAACTTGGATCCAGAGACCACTGGTTGAGGTGGTGCTTGTGTCTATAGACTGTCAGCAGACATGCTGGGATTGGATGCCATCTTGGCTACAGAGGCAGTTGTGTGCCCAGGAGCTTGCCGGGTGAGGGATGCTGAGTGGCTATGAGAGTGCTCCACAAACTGGTCCACGTGGGTTCCCCTTGATTGTGGTAAGTGGGGGTGGTGTGGTCGGTGGTGCAGGCTTCAATAGCTGATTTGGAGCAGTGCCATGGGAGCCGAGTGTTCCTAGCTCCTCTTCATGTGGTGCCAGAACCGGAAATTTGCTTAAACTACTTTTAAATGGGCTGCAATTTAGGTAGTTAGGTGCTGCCTGGAATGGGAGTTAGGGTTAAGTCTGTTCCCAGGTTTTTGGTTTTGGTGGGAACTTTGGATCCAACTCACTGTTCCTTGATACATGTTTTCTGGTGGCACACATCCACTTATTTGTTGACAGCACTACCATTTACTTATTTGTGGGATTCCCTAGATGAACTTTCTCCTTTTTTTGTTTGTAATTTAATTTTGATCCAGAGCCGTCACAATGGGAAAGGTCAGTGACATGATGAGTTTTATTTAATGCTGAGTATTACAGCCACATATAAGTCAACATGTTTCAGCCATCCAGGCCTTATTCATAACATGACAATGTCATGAATAAGGCCTGGATGGCCACATGTTACTTGTGGCAGTAATATTTAGCATTAAATAAAAACTCATCACCAGGGGTGGACTGAAAACTCATGGGGCCCCCGGGCAATAGGGGATCATGGGGCCCCTGTGTCCTCGCCCACACTCAAACCACACCCAAAAAAGCCCATGAAAAGTACCAGGGACATCCCATGGGGCCCCCTACTGACCCCAGGCCCTCGGGCAGTGCCTGAATTTCCAAATGGTCAGTCCGTCCCTGCTTATCACACTGTAAAGATACAGTATGCTGTTGTGCCGCCTCTTTTCTTTGGAGCACTGGCTTCAAAGCTGAACTGGATGATTAGAGGAGGTAGTAGGACTGCATGCTTTGTTAATTTACTTTATTTTAATAAAATTATAATTTGCTGCATTTAAATGCACCCTCTTGTGTCTCTTTACAGTATTACGGATATTCCTTCTATCTGCTGAGGACTTACAGTATAAAGACAGTTAATTATTTTTTATCATATTTTATAAACTCATTAACTTACAGTGAGATTGCCACTTTAGAGGTTAGGTGGCCATACACTGTACGATCTAATGGTACAGTCTCAGTCTATTGCCTTCAGATTTACCAAAACTATAATAGTAGAACAGACCTATCTCTCCGAACACTCTGTATTCAATTAAGCGGTTCCTTGCACTACATAGTTAATGGTAGATCTAAGGGAGTTTGCACAATCAGATTGTATAGTGTATGGTGAGCTTTACAGACTATCAGGGTAACACTTCTGTTTACAACACGACAGCTCTGTTCCACATAGGCTATACTGTATGTGATTGCACTAAAGTACTTCTCCTGCTCCAGAATGCACACTCCAGAAGCATGTAAATATAGAGGTGGGTGGGAGCAATTTCCTGAAGGGGGGGGGGGGGATACAGGGTGTGTCTTAATAAAGTCAGCTGGTGAAGTACTTCCTCATTCTACTAACAGATTTCATGTCCTGTAGGACATATACCAGCAAGTCATGGAGGTGTTTTCTATAGAAGAAAATGGAGACTGAGGTATGCTTGCCCCAAAATATAGGGAAAGCATTTTCTTTTCTGCAACAGAGGTACAGTAATGGTATATTGGTACATAGGGAAGGTAGAATTCAGAAAATAAAGTGAAATTAGCCTTTAAGACAGAACCCAGTTGTTTTAGGCTTTTCAGTAGGCCCTTTTCACTGAAGCTAGCTCTCTTTGCTGATAACCTGTTGATGTACTATTTGTGACACAACTTCACACCTCCCTACCCTCAGTTATATGAAATGTTCAATGATTCAACAGATTTAGAAACTTTAAAGTTAATAATACCAAATTTGAACTTTTGCATGTATCGCTATCACCCCCCAAACCACAACAGCTGAAAATAATTTCCAACTCAAAATTTGCTCCACTTCTCTATGTTTTTTGAGGATCTATCTCCCAACAAATATTTCCCACCTATATTTACTAAACTTCCTGCCAGTGCTAACTAAACCTAATCTGATCTTGACACCTGCACCCTGAAACATCTTTTGTGGTTAGGTAAGGTAATTGAAATCAAGATAGACATTATTCCACTCTTCTTCTACTTATTGTAGACAATTCCTTACAAAATCCCTTCATCTTATTTTCAAAAGTTAACATTTTTGAAATCACAGAGTGGAGCTGGGGTTCCAGATGTCTTACTATACCATAATGCAGTATTTTTTTTATCAGGATACTGGACTGGTTTCACCAACATTTTACACAATTATTGGAGCAATTGGAAAGTTACATGACTCCCTAGACCTCTGTACCTTACCTTTGATATCTCTATAACAACAAAGGTTTCCTTTCCCTCCCAGAACCTAGGAAATATACTATATATTATCTATTTGGAACCATAAGATTTCCAACCTACAGCTATCACAATATAGATGTCACATGACTCTCTTTTTTAGTAACCCTACCTTCTCACCAGCTCTCTGAACCTACACACTTGAGAGAGAGAGCTGCAGGATAATAATACTCCTGAAGAAAGGGAAAAATGCTTTAACCTGACTCACAAACTGCCAATAGCAATAAAAGACAAGGAAAAAAGGTTCAATACAATATGGTACAGATGTCCTGCCATTCTTCATCAGTTAAATCTTGCATTGCCTGAGATTTGTCTGAGGTGTTATGGGTCTAAAGGGACTATGGTCCACATTTAGTGGGAATGCTCTCCAATCAAGGCATTTTGGATAAAAATCTTCAATTTACCTGTATACAATGAGATCATGGTGACTCAAGTCTCAATATCTCCAAAGATCACACTTCCCCCTCTGATCCCGGGCCCAATCAAATCGGCCAAGAAAGATTCCTTCAGGATCTTTCTCAATGCAGCCAGGACAGCCATAACCCATTATTGGAAATCCACAACCATGACTTCCCCAGCAAAAATGACAAAATAACTAGATTCTATCAAGGATCTAGAATGCCAGTTGTCTCAGGAAAACAATATGGGAGAGCAGTTTAGGAAAACCTGGGCCTCCTTGTTCATGTTTAGAAGATCATCAGCATTCAAAAGCAGGATTGGGTAAAAAAACCCTTTCAGACTACCATTCCAGTCCACCTTTTCAGAGTTATCCTTACTCTCCCCTCTTTAACCTCCTCTTCAATTACCCTTCCCTATTTCCTCTACACCTTATTCTCCCTTTATATCCTTTATCACATCAGGATACTCAAATTCTACTTCCCAAACAACTGGTTGCACCTAATTTGTGAATACTACTGTATTAGAACTATAACACATAAACTTATTTCAGAAAGAACTTTAAACCTTTTTTTTAGACTCAACAGATTGATTAGTTTAGTTTTGGATGACTCATAAATAACATACATATCTCTACTAGACCTCTGCATACCATCCTTAATACATTACTACTTATTATGCTTTTTTTCATCAAGACAATCTCATAGTATAAGAAATATAATGTGACTTTTTACCCTGTTCTCTGTATTTTCTGTCTGTACCTATTCTCTGAAAATTCTAATAAAATCATACTGAACTAAAAAACAAAAGCTAATGGAACCACTCTTGGCAAAATAAATATATTTCAAAATTCCAAAAGTGATGACATAAAAGTGGAAGTCTTTCAATAAATGATCTTTTCAATCTATCACCAGTTTGTGACATTTGACAAACAAAAAACATTAAATCATTGTTGACTCAGCCTTGAGTTTAATCGGTACAGGAACAGAACATTCAATTATTTACCAGATCATTTTACTAAGCATTTGACCTTTTGCCTTTGCCCTAAATATATTTTCTTTGTGATATAGACAGTCTCGTTAGACATTAACACAATATTAATCCAAAATCATTAGTATAGCATGCCACAGGTATGTAAAATGGAGTCCCTTACAGTTACACACAATATTATGTCTAGTATGCTTTGCTGTTATTTTCCGGAAATACCTGTTTCAGGAAAATACCACATTATCACTACTATACGGTACTGACCATCCTAAGTAATAAACATGTTAGACAAATTATGGTAAAGATTGGTGATGGCTGTGTGAACACTTGACACTAAGGATGAGCCAAACTGCCCTCGGTTTGAGCAGGGTTCAGCGAACTTCACAGACGTTATGATGCTGAACTCCATTAAAATCAATAGGAGCCAAATCTGTCAGTTTAAAAATGCCTGTTTTCTGGGCTAATAGGCATTTGGTTGTTGATACCATACTGTATGGATGTGGTCAAGGGCCTCTTCCCCACAATACTAGTAAGTGGTTGTGGAGGTCTGCAGATGGAGGCTTATTGGAATCTGGAAGCTCCCTTTAAAAATGAGTGGCCCCAGATACCCCCCCCCCCCACCTCACATGAATGAGTATGGTGTATGAAGCACCCAAACATCCTTTTATTTTAAAATTAGAAAATACCCAAAGAATCCCTTATTGTAAATCCATTGTCAATTATGACTTGCGCTGCCTGTTGGCTTACACAAAAAATAATAATAGGCAGACAACCAGAAGCACACAATTGATCCTGATGGTACCATCAACTGAATGGCAGTTCCCCAAGCTGTTATCAGCTATAGAAGGGAAGGGGCAGGGACATTGGTGACATCATTGAGCAGTGGCCATATTTGGGCAGTGATGTCACCTCTGGCCCCTCCCCTTTTCTTATGTGGTGGGGATTCCCAATGATGTTAGCAATTCTTAGAGATAGAGCAGATGATAGAACATTCTGGTTCCTTGGGAACATGTGTCGGTAGGACTCTGTCATACTGTATATAAAGCAGAACTACAGTCTCACATTTTATACAGGCATTTATTGTAGAACAGCTTTTAAGAAATGTACATTGCAAAAGCATCTTTTCATTGGCTGTAAGTATATGTGTTCAGCAGTAACGTCCTAAAAGGTTTGTGACCTCTGTCTTGATCTGTTTTACTTACCTCTGTCAGAGCTCATACACTTTCTTTTACTTTCCTCTGAGTACAGACCTCTCAGCTCTCTGCAAAAGGGGCATTGGATTTAGCCCCTTCCAGTCCCATTCTGCATCTTCCCTTTTGTGATGTCACTTCCATCTGCTTTTATTCCCCCCAGCTAGCATGAGGCAAAGAGCCTTGGGAAGTGGCAACTATGACATTCTTCAATATATAGCATTATGGATCACATGCCTCAACATGCACAGAGCTTGCTGGGACAAAATCTAAGCACCAGCAGGCTGAAAGTGATTGTTACTTGGATGGTTGACTCTGCAGTTAACTCTTTAGACACACAACCAGTAACTGCCATCATATGTTTTAACTGAAACACACTTCATTCACAGCATTTGTTGTAACAATTTTAACCTTAACCTCCCTAGCGTTCTGATTATGTCAGTATTTCTGTGCTCAAAGTGGTACATTGTTTTCAATGGAAATATGTTGTTTTTTTATTGTATACCTGAAATTCT